TATATACTCACACACATAAACACACACAAACAAACACACAACTGTGTGCGTTTGTGCATGCGTATATATGTACATACATGTATGTGTGTGTGTGTGTGTGTGTATATATATATATATATATATATATATATATATATATATATATATATATATATATATATATATATATATATATATATATATATATATATACATATACACATTATATATATGTGTGTGTGTGTGTGTGTGTGTGTGTGTGTGTGTGTGTGTGTGTGTGTGTGTGTGTGTGTGTGTGTGTGTGTGTGTGTGTGTGTGTGTGTGTGTGTGTGTGTGTGTGTGTGTGTGTGTGTGTGTGTGTGTGTGTGTGTGTGTGTGTGTGTGTGTGTGTGTGTGTGTGTGTGCATATATATATGTTAAACCATGACAAGAATATTGGCTTAGAAGAGATTTCAGTTGACTATTTTCTTTCACATTATGATGGAAATACAGTATAATTCCAGCTGTCTAGTATTTTGGAGCTTAGAATATTCAGCAGTGTAGAATTGTCCATCCTGTGAAGCTAAAGGATTCCTGATATTCAGTTCTTTGGATTTTCTGTGCAATGGAGAATGTTTTCTCTTCTGTTAGTCACATATCACCTTTATGTATCCTATCCTTCCTCTAAGTGATGACATGGATGCTTTGCATTATTACTATATGATTTGTTTGTGGCTATATTTTATGGGATTTTCATCATACAAATTTTAAGTGTTTAAGCTACACCCAATTTCCCTCTGGTTGTGTGAAATCCATATAAGTGCTACCGTATATGACATTTGGACAGCATTAATATTGCATATTTTGATGTAAAATTCCGAGTTATTACACAAGTGCATCTTTGAAAGGATTTTTGTCCATTTGGGTTATTTTCAAATACTGAGTTTTTTTTCCATGAAATAGATTTTGATTTCTTTATGAAATAGTTTTGAAAAAATATGGAAAGCCAAGTCTGCATTAAGGGATGACTAAATTCAATGACTGATATGAGACAGCATTGGACATATATTGAAATACCGGGAATGATAAAATGGTTCTGTACAGACTTGCCTGTGTTGGTCACTTTAGTTCAAATAGATGATCAATGAGTATCATTTTCATTTAGTTGTTAAATTTGATATAATGGAAGGGATGTCATTAACCTTTCTCAAGTTGCAAAAAATATCTTTTATAGTTTGAGACATATGAACTAGGTTTGTTTATTTAAAAGGATTTTGATGAGTTTTATTATTTCATAAATGTAAATACAAAGATACGAAGCTGTCTACGTCCTGCTTGGCTAAGTTATGGATGATTTTTTCCTCTATTCTTTTTATTGATGAAACTGTGTTTATGTCTGGAGGAAAGAGCAAAAATCAGGTTGCAGGGCTTATGAACTCTTGTGATCTCTCATATGGAGTATTTATTGTTGTGATGGTTGAAGTTAGACATATTAGTATTTGACAGCAGTATTTACATTATTAAGCTTTGTCAGAAAGGTTTAATATGAAGATGGGAGGACCACTGCAAAATGATCTGGGAGGTGGGAGTATGATTAGTAAATTATTGTACAAGTACCTCAGATTCCTGATTCACCGCTGTAGTATTGTTTGATATTTCATTATAGAACGCTGGAAGTATCATGAATGTTTTTGTATTGCTCCAGAAATGTTAAATATTTTGTATTTTTTGTAGTATATATATTTTAGAGATCCAATGTGCTGTAGGAGTTTAGCTGTGTATATAATGACAATTAACAAATGGAATAGAAGCCTATCTTTTGAAAGGATGAATAGTCTAGATAAAAGTAATTCACATGAAAATGCTTTTCTTTTTTTCTGACATGTATTATATAAAAATCTATTGCTGGCTCTCATTTGAGTTGTTTCAGGTTGTTTCATGAAAGTAAGGGTCAGTAGTATGGAGTTTATTATAACTAATAATATGGAAAGCATTTAGAGTGAAACGCTGTTTAGAATTTGTCCTGATAGTATGTTATAGAGGAAATGATGTCATGTAACTCAAAGAAAGTATGCATAGCTTCCATAATGTATAATTGTTGTCAACAGGGATTAAAGTCTGTAGTGCTAGACCATTCTTGTGAAGGTATTACTGCATGAGATAAAGTATGTCACTTGAATTTGTGCAGAGATAGAACTAAAACAGATAACATAATAAGTGAATGGAAAACCCTTACACGGTGTAGCAACACGACCCAGCAACCTGAAGTTGAACATATTTCCCACACCAGGTTCATAGCCATGTCCTCACTCATTGGACAGTGGGCTCCCCTCTTTCCCTGCGTGCTTACACAGCATACGTGTACTTAAGCCGCAGAATCCAGAACCCAGATCAACATGCCCCGATCCTCCAGACAAACGTGACAAGAGCAGCAGCAACACTTGGACTGCCCAGTCCTTTGCTGACTGGGGAGCATCCCACCTCCCCCTTTGATCTCCACAACTCCAGCCCCCAGCAATACCAGTGGGAACTCGCACCCATTCATACACTCCATAGAGAGATACTGACCAGTTCAAGTAGTAGATAATTACTCATCTGCTACAATGGATCTCTTCCATTTACTTATTTATCTATTTACTTCTTGAAAAAGGATGGAGGATATTCATGAGGGTGCTTGTTATGTTTGCCACATAGAACTTGGCAGTTTGATGCTTCAGAAGAAAGAGATTCTGAATTTTTGAGTGACTTTTGACTTCTTTTATAAATAGGAACAAAAGTTATAAGAAAGAAATATGTTTTATGTTTTAATGGAATGGACTGATATGTATAATTCCTTACTTTTCCTGCTTTCTTATAGTTGAGTGGAATAATATTTCTGATAATGTTTGTAAAATTGACATTGAAATTGAGCTCATTTAGCTTATGTTTTTTCTTGGGGACAGCAAATTCAATTCTAAAATCAGTTTTTTTGTCATGAGTCTGGATTCTCAGAAATTTGTAATACTTCCAGTATTCATTAAAGTGCCATCATCTCATTGTAATAATGTAATATTCCTGGTATTGTAGACAAAATCTGAGAAGATTAATGCTACTGTTTTCAATGGATGACCTAGAGCATGTTTTGTACTAGCAGTTAGCAAAATGTAGTGAAAGTATATTCATGCAGATTGCAGGTTGCCTATTATTTTGAAATGTTTAGTTTGTTGTGAAACGAATATAAACTCAGTTAATTTTCTTTGTAACAATGTGCATGTATTAATTTTGGAAAAGATATGATGTGGACCATGGACATGGGAGTTCATATTTCTCTTTAACCCAATGCCGACGGGTATGACGTGTACGTACGTGCTATGCCCACTGTAAGTACTTGTTTGATTGTTTTTACGCATAGATGGCAACACTTGTACTAAATCACCAATGAGCCAGTTATGAGTACTGCCCGTCGTGCCCATTTACCCTTTTCTTTGATTTATGAAATATTTTATGTTATCTTATTTTGCTGTTACTAATGTTAAAAAATATTATAATAATTATCATGTTTATGATAAAAATAACACCATCGATTTTCATAGCACTAGTGAAAAATACATTTTTCCCGCCATTTCAAATCAGGCACTAGCAAAGCCATCTATGGGCAGACATTTCACGAAAAACATAGAAAATAGGCACAGCATTTTCCCCATTTTTTGTTCATTTTCCCCAGCGGCATTGGGTTAAATAAAGAACTTTAGTCATATGTAGGTATATGCAACAACAGATAATGCACAGCAAGGAGATGTTGGGCATCTTAAATGTGATGTGACATCACATTGCATAACATGGGTATTTATTTCAATAATCACAGAGTACTATTTGCTGTAATAATGGGTCCTTGACTAATTTGCCTTCAGGTATTTATTCTCCTTGACTGATAAGTGAGCCATTGGTAACTATATTGTATATTGTAATATCAAATTCTCTTGGAAAGCATTTTTGGCAGTGGTACACTATTCATGGTAAACAAAACAAAAAAAACATGTAGCTTGTATCTCTTCAAAAACTGCAGGGTACGTGGCATAGAGGCTCTAATAATAAACTGCACAGTGTAATATGTAGAACAGAACCATGTGACAGATCTCAAACACCATTTGAACAGTGTGATGATTCTGTATGTACAAAGTCAGGGTTCTTCAAAGTTCAGGTCATTACCCAGTACTGGGTTGCAAGCTCATGTTCAGTGGGTTGACATATAATGATGATGATGATAATAATAATAATAATAATAATAATAATAATAATAATAATAATAATAATAATAATAATAATAATAATAATAATGATAATAATGATAATAATAATAATAATACACACTCACACTCTCACTCACTTGCTCACTCACTCACATATGTACTCACTCACTCATGTATGTACTCACTCACTCACATATGTACTCACTCACTCACATATGTACTCACTCACTCACATATGTACTTGCTCACACACTCATTCACTCATTCACTCACTCACTCACTCACTCACTCACTCACTCACTCACTCACTCACTCACTCACTCACTCACACACACACACACACACACACACACACACACACACACACACACACACACACACACACACACACACACATACACACACACACACACACACACACACACACACACACACACACACACACACACACACACACACACACACACACACATGCACTCACACACACAAACTAAAATTGAGTTATGAAGGTAGTGTTAAAAAATCGAACTGGGTTTTGATGAAAAAAGTTTGAAGAACCCTATACTAAGCACACACAGAAAAACATGCACACTTAAAATCAAGAATTAATTATTTTCAAACAGATATTGGACCTATATGTTAAGTCTTGCCATACTTTTGGAGGTGTTTTATATAGGAAGCTCCTTTGGACATTTTCTTTCAAGTAGCAATTGTTGCAATATTCGCATGTAATGAGGGACCATGTTGATGTAGTTGCATTTAATTATCATAATTTTGTCAGTGATAATGATGATAATAATATTAATGAAGATA